AAAGTTATTTTACTAAGGTTCTGCTTGATCATCAGATTTAGCTACTGCAGTTCAAGGGGTGATAAAAACTGTTACATATGACTGACAGACAGACCCTGCAGTGCACCCAACTTTGACAAGTACATTGCCAGCAGCATCCTTGGAGATCTTACTCCCTGGAAAAGGGTTAGGATATGGAAAGAGTGCATCGCACAAAGGCTGACTGCTACCATATATTAAAACCAGGTGGTCTTAATGGGTGGGCTACAACGCTCTTATCTGCCCTCCCTCTGTAAATCTGTACTTACTTTGAAGCTTTACCCATACAAGTTCTGAGTCCTTTATTAGAAGCTGAGGCTCAGCAGCACAGAGGATTAACCTTATTGTCTCACTCACGGCCAGACCTGTCTGAAGGTCCTATTTCTTCTGTTAGAGGTGGTTATTAATGCAGAAGCCCCGTGGAGGATAATTCCCAGAATACATCCATACATGGCAATGGACCACAGTGCAATGACTCCTGAGAAAACCTGACAGCTGAGATAGTCCTGCAGCATTATACAGAGAAGCTACTAAGGTCCCAAAAGAGGCTCAACTATGTTTTTATGGCCCTGCACCCAACCAGTCAGCCCTAGCTCTAGTACAGAGTCAACTTGATACAGCTCTACCTATTCAATGTCCATATCACCATCACTACAGCAACTCCATAACAGTGACCCGTGGCCAGGAACTACCCACTGCAGTGGACTGTTACAGCAGTCAACACTTCAGAAATTAATGTACAATAAAGCTGTAAAGAAACAAAGAATGTACTTTTCCATTTCATGTCTGTTACACTGAGTGAGTGGGAAGCCTAAGTTTGATTGATTTGATCAAACTAAGCAATTCAAGCATCTTCTCCCTAATTTTAGGCCAAAGAAAATTGCAGCAATGCAGAAGCAACTGATAAATCAAAAGCAGAAAAATAGAAATTAAAGCTCAGTTCTGGCCTTTCATCTTTATTACCCTTCTTTATGTGCATATGGTAGGTGTTCAATTCTTTCCAAGTCCGTATGATATTCCCTTGTGCTTCAGAAGCAGTAGGGCTGTAGTTGTCTATAAAAAGGCAACTTAACAGTTTCATGTGACTGAGAGTTAAATGTGTTATTTGTTACCAGCTGGTTCAAGGATAGCTTGGGCTTTAAGTGATCAAACTGACTTTAAACCACTCGTACATGAGGTGAATTCACATATAGAGAAAATTCTGTTGCAATATTTTATTTCGGAATTATGCCATAAAACTTTTTTTTCTAAAACAATATTAAAACCAGAACCTATAACACAGCAAATGCAGACTGCATTTTTTGGAAAGCTGATACCAAACATAACAGTAAATGAACCCTTCTCAAAGGTTGAAGTTGCTTTCATATAAAACATTTTCTGCCAGGAAATGGAAGTGGAATGTTGAACTAAGCATTTAACTTGAAAGAACTCATAGCACAGACTCCAATGGTTGCATTATCCTTTAAAAGAAAAAAAGTAAAATGTTTTTATGAGTATATATAGCTCTAGTTTCATAAAAACAGTATTATGGTGATGAGGCAAAATGAATCCCAGTATTTTGGGTGCTCCTTTTAATTTTCTAACAGCTCCTTCCCTGTCCATTAACCATTCCAAGGTGAGCTTTCATAGTATGGTTAAATTATCTAACAGTTCTACTCCCTTCACTTCTCTCTGCATCCTTTTTGCCTTGACATACAGGTCTATTCCTTCCCTTCTACTTTCTCTGATTTTCACATGGCTGCTTGGTAAACCCAATTGGATTACTAAACCAAGAGAAAACTATTCATGTTTTTATTTCACTGAATTGGTTTTCTACTAGCTGGTAAGGTGAGCCATCTCTATGGGTGATACAGAAATTAGAGCTGGTGCAGAACAATGGCTGAGAACAGCACTCCTGGATTTCCTTGGGAGACCTCAAACGCTTAAAGCACCCATTCTAAATAATGGGATTGCCTCTTAAAAAATACACTTACTACTTGAGGTGGTGGACCTGTTGCAATAGATTCTTTAAAAAACTAATGAATGAAAGTAGTCCTACCAAACAGATTTACCACTTACAGAGACAACAAGATTATTGGCAAATATGCACCATACAGTGGTTGCCCAATCTCAGGAGCAGATATTCCTGCATGAGGGCAGTGACCTCATGACACATCTTTGTAGTAAGCAGTCAGAGTGTGTCTCTTTTCTGGGCACAGTCTTCTGCTTCAGGGGGGAAATAAAAAAATGCCAACTTTAAACAGTATCCTTGTATCTTGATTTTGATTCTATGATCATTCAGGGAGGGAGAAAGCAACTCAAATGAGCTTGACATGTTGAGCTACTGCTGATTTGCCAGATTCCAGTGTCCTCAAGTGTGACACAGCATTATTATTCAGTGTCCTGTATTTAAAATCAGAAGTGATTTAAGCTGGCTCTCTGCCATACCACTTGATGACATGTAGACACCATGTAAATAATGCATAGCTCTGTGACCACATACTTTCATGCCACATGCTGAGAGAAACAGACAAAGCCTGCTATTATTATTAGCCACATCTTAGGTAGCTTGGAAACGTACAAAAGTAACATCAAAATTACTTCAAACATGTTGTAGACTCCAGCTCCAAACTGCTTCATTAGAACTCAAAAGGAACCTGTGCATCCTTTTTAACTGCGGTTAAAAAGAGATTGCTAATTTACATCTCACATCCTTTAAAAGCCACCCTTCTAAGAATGTTTATAAATAACCAATATAAGAATTTCCACTGGCAAGACTTTTCTCTGCACAGTGTGGAGTGAAAAAGTTGCCATTTTAGAAGAAAGCAAAATCCAGTTCTAGACTGCAAAATTCTAAATAATTAATATCAGACACTGTTCCCTACTAACAGTAGCCAGTCTACTTCTACTCTTCTGATATGTCAAAATGTAAACGTACCAATGCCACCAGGATGTGATCATCAAACCAAAGTGAAATTGTGGTTTTCACTGGGGAACACTGTAAAACAAAAATAGGACACCTAATATGCTACTTAGTTCTTACATGGCAGTCTTTTATCATTTAAGTGTCATACAACCTCAGTCATACTGAGAGCAGACACCAATATATGCTGCTTTTCACGGGGCATTTAACAAGATTGGAAGTATCTTATATCACTGGTACCCAACCATCATCACATACACACTCCCTTCCAATCCTCTGACTGCCAAGTACAGAAAGGTGTTGATTATAATTTCACCTTTCCATGGTGCACAACAATAGAATACTTGTTCTTCTTCATCTCACTGAGCCTATGCTGTCAGAGCGGGACTGTGATATGCATTCTTCCTCTGAAGACACATAGGAGTAACTGTTAAATCAGGAGAGACAACAGAATAGAACAAACAATGAAACATAGAAATCAAGTCTTTATAGTTTAGAAATTAGGGTGGATGTGTTGTTGCAGCAAACTCACCTCAATCCTCACTCTGTGGCCATTATTAGGGAATTGCACCTATATACGTGTAGTTCCCTCTTGGCTTTAGAGTCGCAAAGTCTGAAATAAAAGAATATCTAGTTTGAAACCACTGAACTGTGCAACTAGATCATAATTTCTCAGGGGAAAATAGATATACAGATCAAAATTCCTCATCCAAATAAATTCCTTTAGAAACTTTGTAAGACAGCAAACATAAAAAGGAAAGGGAGTTCTTTTTTTTCTTTTTTTTTCCTTTTTTTCCAGCATCTATGAGACAGTCAGAGCACACAGAAAATTGGTTTATTTCTGCTCAAGGATGAATACATTGGACAATACTCTGTACTCGTCCACATTGCTCAAAAGGATCAGCATTTTGAGAGTCCCAAACCAAGACCAATTTTCTGTTTTCTCCATTAAGAAGACCAGGAATCTTGTGGTCTCTTTTCAAAGGAATGTCTTTGTCCAGAATCTTGCCTCAGAGATTTATTTTCACTATGTTATTCAGAACAGAACACTGGAATGACTTCCTAATTTCTTTAGCAAATCTGTTCTTAATCTACTTTATTCCAAGCATTTTATAGACAGTTTCTTACATGATGTTCTGAAGTTCTGTAATTACACACACTCTGGTCAAACTTTCTCTTGACCAGAAAAGACTTGCAGTAATTCTAGTAAATCGAAAGGAAAAGTTTGGGGAATAGAGTAGGCTGGTTGAGAAGATAACTTACTGCTTTAGATGTGATTTCTGTTCTAACAGTTGCTATGGGTAATGTACTTGCCCCTCACAGAGAAGTGACAAAGCCTATCTTGTAGAAGTTTTGTACAGGTTTTTTTTTTTTTTTGCCTGGGGTTTGGATTTCACAAGGCTAACTAGATTGCCCTTGTCTAGGAAATGCAGGGGGTGAAGCCAGATGGTATCTGTGTGCAAACTGCAAAGAGTGAAAACTGGGGAAGGATAGTGGCTGAAAAACAGGGAATAAAACCCACTGAATTAGATGAGTGGGCAAAGTACAAAAAGTTAACAAGAAGTCATGAAGTGGCATGACAAAGGTAACAAAGGTTGCTTTTCACAGGCAAAGATGTGAGTATTTTGAGGGAAATGTCAAATGGATTTGGATCTTTCTTCTAGAGTCCATTCAAAGCTTCCTTCAGCAAGTTTTTCTCTCTTCCTCCTCAATGGAAGTCTTATAAGAATTCTATTAGCTACAGAAAATTCCTCTAAATTCTTATTGCTAGAAATATACCTGTATATGCAAGAATAAAGAAATTATTTCAAACAAGTCCAGTACTAGACGAATAGCAAGTAAAAATAGCACAACTTGCACATTCTTACTAAGAGCTAGCTCAGCAATCAGCAGCACTGCCTGAACAGTCAACTATAAAAGTTCCCATTTTGTGGTAACCTGATTTGACTGTTTCCTCTACCAAAATGTCCTATTTCAGTGACTTAAAATGTACGGGTAAGTCCCATATTTTGTGCAGCTGAAAGTGCATATACACTGAAAATCTGGGTAAATGTTAGCTACTGAGAGCAGTAATGAGCCTCTTCAGAGGAAACAGTGCACTGTTCCTGTCGTCATGGTGGAGGAGGAAGGAACAAGGAAAATAGAGACTCTGCCACATTCAAAGATCTTTCGATGGTAAGACTTTCTCGCATTTTATCTGATGTCCATATTTACAAAGTTGAGCGCATGTGGTTTCACAGAAATGTTCAAAAGGGAAGATAGAGGTGATAAGCAGCACATGCATGACCTGCTTCCTGTGTTTGCTGAGAAAGGTGTGCTGGATGCCAGGCCAGGCTGGTAGGGCAGCAGTGAGAGCTGTGGCACACAGTTGGTGACACCATCAGAGCTGTGGCAAGAAGCTGGGCGTAAGGGCACAAAATGCACACATGTACATGAGCCCAATCGGAGTCCAGTGGCAGTTAATGTCCTTGCTACTAAGTTGTGTCATTTGCAGAGCAGCATTTTTTTTTTATACACATTAATGTTTACTACTCTATCCTTATGGTATTTTGAACATTTTCTGTGATAAAGAGTGTTAGATTTTTTAAATTTTCTACTGTCAACATTTTAGTTTTCACATCTAAAAAGCACGCACAGTTCCACACAGAGGTGTAATCTCTGCTTGATTGTTTACCATTCCAGTGCTATACCCTTACTTATCTGTTCTCTTTGGCTAATGTGGCTTGATGATTTCACTCTGTGTTTTCCCTTTTCAATTGTATACATCAGATAGAAGATATTCATACTTCCCTTCCATCATGTGACACATTTTCATAATGCAGAGTGATAATGTGGCAGACTTATTTTTGCAAAGAATTAGCCTTGATCTACTCTCTACCATGTCTTAGAAACTAGCACTAATTTTTACAGTATAAATTAGGGAATTCAAGGTATGGATGGCTTGAAAATACTAAATTCTATGTGTTAAATTTCCTTAAAAATTCAGTGCTCGATCTGAAAATTCATTTGTTATTTAAGGGTAATTCCATTTCTGAAATAGCCTCTTTAAAATTGTATCTGCTTCATCTCTGTGCTAGCCTGGTCTCTCTGATATGACTGATGCTTTGGAAGGCATTGCCGTGAAAGGACACTATGTTTGCAGCAGTGTACTTAAAAGCTAATGGTCATCCATCTTCTCTTTTACAGCATGTGCTGGGATAAACAATGGGGAAATCAGAGGCTTATGGAGGCTTCATGGAAAAGAGGTGAATCAGAGTTTCACTGAAAACTTTTTGAGGTTGCTAGGTTGCAATTTTAAAGGTGTTCAGTGTTGCAGATAAATGTATACTTAGCTTTCTGTAGAGCTTAGATACCTTAACTCCACTTACTTTAGCTCAAGGTGACTGCTTTCAGACTCCTCAAAACTGCAATAGGCAACTACTTGAATGTTAATATACCCTTAAAAATCTGAGCCCCAGGCCTTGATAACCAGTACTCTTAGCCTGCCAGCTCAATTCAGTCTTGAACTCTACTGTATGAGTGTAGCCTGCCTACCCACTAGAAGTAGGTCATTACCACCAATCTGAACAGTAACTCAGAAGTAATGAATGGGAAATATCTCTCTTGGCCTATATTTGTTGTTGTTGTGACATAGAGGTAAAAAGCTAACCATACCTTTATAACCTTATTACCCTAGCCCTCCAGTCTTACCATCCTTCATACCTCTAATTAAGCATGCGAAAAATAAATATCTTACTGACAGTCTTTCCTCAGGCTTGGTAGGAGTGATCTGACAACATCCAGAATATTCCTACGAAAAAAGATGTTGTGCAACAATTTTTCATTCAAAGATTTTTTTTAATTGTAAATAGGTATTTTTTAGTTTAAAAAAAAAAAATTACAACATCTGAGCTAGGATCAATGTGTCTGAAACTACAGCAAAACCTACACAACCTGATTACAATAAATAAAATTTAAAAAAATTTGCTAGCAATATTTTTTAAAAGGCAGAAGAATTTGTGCTTTTAAGATTATATCAGTGAAAGATCTAGCAAGCAGAAACGTTTTTCTTTTCCGCTCCAACTGAATCATACATTATTTGGGGTAGAAATTTGGCAGGCAACTCTGTTGTATTATCTCTACATTGTGGCTGGACTGATTTCTTTATCCTTTTCTGATAGATGGATGTCTAGCCGAGCCCTGAATATCTTCAGTGGTGCTGATTCCAAAGCTTCATTTGGCAGCTGGTTTCCTTGGCTATGAGTTCTTATGTTTATAAACTTTCCCCTGATATATAATTCTAATTTTTCCCTCACAATGCTTAAAGCTGCTTCTTTCTTGTTTGCTTGCTTGCTTGCATTCTTAAGTAATGAGAATAATCCAATATTTTCTCTTTTTCTTTTACTTCTTATTGCAGAAAATAAGAGGCCACTTTAAACTTCCTGGAATTAACACAATTGAAGTAATCTCAATTCAGCATCATACCGCGGGCCTTATTTTGCAAGCCTACCATCACTTTTCTTACAGAGCTCAAGATTTAGACAACCTTTTAAAAACAAATATCTAAAACCAATTACAGTACTGCAGGACATGACCATAAATGACCATAAAAAAGACTAAAGTTTTCACTTCTCATTATGTATATTTCCAAGGATTATGTTGTATAAATTGTTACACTAGCTGATTGTGTGGACCTTTCATCATGCTAGAAAATTTAAGAGTTTGCAGAGCTGAAAAATATCATTGCTGTGAAGAGAATTACATTGATTTTTGAGAGAACAGTTGGAGAGACTAATTCTAATCAACCAAAAAATTAAATAGTAGATCAGCATCAGTGTTAATCCCACTGAATTGGGAGGTTGGTGTCTCTGTAACCACTACAGTAAAGTCAAGGAAGGAGAGATTTATTTTAGAGAGTAAAGACAAAGTAAGAAAAGGACAGCAGGTTGTGAATTATTACTTTTGAAAAGGAGATACTTTTAGGAGCTGATGGGGGGCCCAAAACTGGCTTAATTGTTTTGGGAAGCTTTTCTGCATTAGAAAACTACAGCAGATTGTTAGCCAAGTAGCTTCAAGCTGCATCACTCATTAACAGTTCGTGGCTGAGGACCTTGGGATAAAGGAGGCTGAACTGCATCCTGAATGTAGAGAAAAGTGAAGTGATCTAAGTCCTATCTTTCCTCCAAACAATTCCCACCTGCTAACGGTTTCTTCCACAGTATGTGCAGAGTTTTGTACATTCCCTCCCAAGGTGCCTAGTCATGGTCCTTGGTGCAGTATAGTACATCTTTTCTGGATAAATTCCATTAGGTGCATTAGAACACAGAAGCCTCTTGGTAGACCTAGCTGTGGGTTGGATTTTCACAAAATCATCATTAAATCAAAAGTAGTAAGTATGTGATAGCTTTTGGCAATTCCTCTAGACACCTGTTTATCCTGTCTTTGAACAACTCACTGTAAGTGACTGGTCATTGCAGCTTCATGGGTCAGACAACAGGATGCACAAACACACAAGGAAAGATGGATCAGGATAGTATGACTCTGGGAGTCTTTTCTATTAACAGGATCAGCACTTAGTTCCGACTGTGTTTGCTCAAGCTTTCGGACACATCACATTCTCATATGACTACTGGGAGCTGTACCAGAGTCTGTTCCATGCAAACATTAATCTAATTTGCCAAGGCATTCTCACACTACTAACCTGGCAAGAATCTTTCTAGTTGCCATGTAATCATTTACATTTTGTCAGTAGTTACACACTACCAAATGTGCCAAGACCATTCAAATATTTTTGACCATTTCTCTAGTTCAGTTCCAACCACTTAAAGTAACTCAGCCAAATCCAATTATAAAAGAACTGCTTCATCTGGCCATTCATCCCTTGTAGTGACAATTAAATAAGTTGTTTTAGAGTAGGAGTGTTATGGCCACTAAGCAGAAAACTCACAACTACCTCAGAGCTGACCTTGTTTGCCTTTTAGCCACTATGCCATTTCCTCTGAGCTGTGAGCCCTTTAACTGCTGCATATGCATCTGGATCAGCGTGTTCAAGGAACATTTCGTTCTTCTTTTCATTGTAGGACTGTCACTTTTAGAACATGAGAAATGTGGTTCCTTTTTTAAATAAAGGAAGTCTGAGTAATTCTGTGAAGCCACAAAGACCAAACTCTGTATACACACTTATTCCGACACCTTACATCATTTCAGGTCTTGAAGTTCTGATGTCCAAAATAACATTACTAAAATGATAGCAATTTTAAGATGCCAAGTCCATCTAGGAGAATTGCTTTCCTGACACTGAGGACAAAATTTCCCAAATCAGAATACTGCACTTGCAAGTTTTCTTGAGAAAACAACCATTTGTTGTGCCTCCATCTGTCTACTCAATAATTTGCTGCTAAGCATTACCACAAGCCACTTGGCAACATTGCTTCCATGTTGAAGAGCCACTAGATACCATCTGACACTGAGAAAAGTTTGGACCTACTGGGATACCTATTTTTGCATTTAGATTTGCACCTCCCAGTGGATCAAAACTGTAGGATACCACATATCTATGTTTGCTACCTGGAACATGTAACTGCAGTCCTTGAAAGAAGCAGACAGACAAGCCTGCTCTCTGATTGAACCATCCTCTCAGGCATAACTGCATTAATGTGCAGTCTAGAGGAATGCCACTTTGAAATCATTCCTACATAAAATACTTGCATGGCCATTACAACAGCTAGCACTGCAGCAGGAGACCTCACGTTTCTGGGCTGCTGCTGCTGCCTGTTACCATTCAGGTAGTATCAGGTCCAGCCAGTACCAGAACGTTGAAGCACAGGCTTCAATGAAAGCAAAAGTTAATCACAGTGACCTTAAAGAAGCTGCTAAGGACTGTCTGCATTGAGGTGGCCAAACCTCTGGCAGTACAAGCTATCCCCCTGAGCCTTGCAAAGCAACAATGTATTCACTACATACATGCCTTAGAAAGCCAACAGACGTATGGGAGATCCAGGATCAAATAGCAGGAGAAGATAATCAGCTCACCACCAGTACATAGATATGTAAATGCTGAACCTGTCAGGTCCTGGGACAATCTGTCAGCATCCATTGCAGCAGCAGACATGGGTGCTAGTACACCATGCTGTTCCTCACTTTCTGAGCAGGACACCTTGCTGGGAGGCTTAAAGTGCTCTTGAGATGGGATAGGCAAACTTCAAGTCCTACTGAGTCACAGCCTACAGACTCGCTCCTACTTTGATATCACATTTAAGGGCAATGACAGTTCTAAGGCCAGAATTCCTTATTAAGCAAAGGGAATACTCTCAGTGCTTTTTGAGGTTCAGGAAGACAGGACCTTGCCGCCTTTAGACCAAGTCAGTTAAATATGGTGACATTTCAGACATGAGCAGCTTTTTTGATATGATTTGAGGATGACAGTATGTATGTTTTTAGGTAGGTGAAAGAAAAACAATTAAGCCAATTAATTAATTTCCTGAATGCTGCCAAGTACAGCTCAGGAGAATCAAATTCTAATTTGAATGAAGTGTCAGGGAGACTAGAAGCCTTGTTAATACAAATACCTACATAAAGTCACTAATGTAAATGAAATAAATTGCTGACAATACTTTCAATTCACAAAGAACTTCATAGATGTGATTTTAAGAGAACCTAATTCTGACCATTTAAGTTTATGGTAAAACTTTCACTGACAACTGCAGAAGCAGGCTGAGATTTCACAGAAACTTCTTTTAAAGAACTTTTAAACTTTCACCTTACTGCTTTAAAGCATTTTGCAAGCACATCCACCTCAGAGGTTTTATATATCTGGTAAAGACAAAACATATGACGAAGAAATAACTTGTTCTAAACCACAGAAGAAATCTGTGTCTGAGCTAAAAATTGGACTCAGAACTGATATCCTATTCTTCTCTGTGGCATGGGAAAATCTTCTCAGTGAGTTTTCAAGACCACAGGACAGAAATGTTACTATCTATGAGTTAAAGCTGTTTGACTTGTTTATGAAGAAGTGACCATGATGATACTTGTAGCTCTACAGTTTTCCTTATTACAAAATGGAAGATGATTCTTATTTTAAAGTGTCCATTCCAGCTTAGTTAGGCTGAACTTTAAGTGTTTAATGCACTTCAAGTATAGATCATAGAAACTGTAAAAAATCTAACTTGTTTAACCAAACATTTCATCTGTAATTTTCAAATATTGAAGGAAAAAAGATCAATAGACACAATAGAATCACAGAGAAAACACTTCAAGTTTCCTTACTATTTTATACTACAGAAATCAGAAAGATGAACAGATTCTTCTCCTTGAAATGCTTAATATTCTCTCTGAAAATAAACAAAACTTTTATAACTACATGGGTGATTTTCAGCATGTGACATCTGATAAATGTCAGTTCTTGGGGAAATGATGAAACGGTGTATAAAGTAATAATTAAAAAACAAACAAAAAAACCAGAGAAAAACAAAGGAAAAAAAAAAACCAGGAGAACAACAGAAATTAGACAGTGAAGAAATGGCATTGAGGCAGACTTCAGGAAATATATTTTCTTTTCCAGTGTTACATTCCACGATATTTTTAAATCACAGATATTGAAAACAGATTCCCATACAATTTTTAATCAGTTACAGTAGCCACCAGGGTTAGTGGTTCCTAACATGTGGTAAAAAATATAATACTTCTAACTCAAGCCATGTCATGCTGGTATTTTAACAGCATTCCTCTTGCTATTGTTACAATTCCATTAGCTTCATGGCATTTGATTCTTTCTGAACGTAAGAAAAGAGTATCTCCCTTTCTGATGTTTACAGCAAGCAGTATAATCATAATAACCATGGTATTTTTCAACCCAGTATCTCAAAATACTTTGATCCTTACCCCTGATTTTGGAGATGGAGAAACTCAACTCAGAATCATGAGATGTCTCTCTGGAGTCAGCGACCAATAAGGTCACTGTAGGGCCTAGAATGGAAAAATCACCAAAAAGTAGCACTTCACAAACTTTATAGAGCCCACCTGGTGTAACACATGGAAGACTTAGAATTATAAGTCACCATCACCTCCCCATGATTTCACAGTGGTGCTGCTCATGTGCATCTCCGGGGCACCATTACTTCCTCACCCTGTAGCTGGGATCCCAACTCAACAGATAGTGAGTACATAGCTCTGTAATCCCCTTAGAGGTGACAGTATCTTGGGGGGATTCTGAAGAGGGGCAACTGTCCCCCACAGAGGCCAGGGAGAAGGATGCTCCCCTGGAAAGCTGATGCTGTGGTCCTTTCTCTGTCACTGGAGACTGTGCCTCTGGAGAGAAAGGGGCACAGCAATGCTAGATCTGATGTGGATGCTCCCACGCACAAGCCATGGCCCACCATGTCTGATATGTGGAACGTGCCAGTCCACAGCCCTGTGATTTGTATCAGATTCAGATATTAGAAACCCACATGCATTGGGGCAGCATGTTAACTCTTATAAAAAGAAACTAAAAAAGGTATTACTCATTTGTGAGACATTAATAGTTATTTAATGGAACTTACTGTTTATACAAAACACGTTAAAATAAATCATATTAAAAAAACCTACACGGTTTCATAA